GAGGATGCCACTACTGGGGGCTGGGTCTCAGTTTCTGCTCTGGGTCCTGAAGCCGCAGGTCACAGATGCCACCTGGCACTGCTGGGGGAGATGCAGGGGCTAAGCTGCAGGTGCTATTGCTGGCCTGACAGTCTTTGGTCACTGGTTCCCACAGGTGTGCTCCTTGAGGCCTCAGGTCAGGGCACCCTGCTCACGCTGCTGAAATCCACAGTTTGGTTGCTGTCCTCACTGCTGGAGACACCAGTGCCACTGCCAGGGAGGGGGAGGGTCTGAGTCACTGGCACCACTCTGTGTCCTGAAGCCTCAGGCGTGTGCACCCCATGCCACTGCTGTGGGGAGGGACAGAGGCCAAGCCATGAGTACCATGTCTGCCCTGCAGCCTGTGGTCACTGGCATGTGTGCTGGTGTGAGGATCCACATTTAAGATTGCTGCTGCTGGGCGAAGGGGATGGGCTGCTCCCCTAGTTCCACTTCCTCTCAGATATTCAGTCCACTCACCTTCAGATTTACAGATATGTGGATCCCTCAGGTGCTCTGGTATGCTGTGCAGGGAGTCTTTTGTCAGTCACTGGGTGTCTGACCAGTTATAACTTAGAGAGGAAAGACAAAGGGAATGGCTCACTCCACCATGATGCTGATGGCCCTCAACACTGAGGTGTTATCAGGCCCAGTTTACAGATGTGAAGACTGAGGCTCCAAGGGGTGACAGGCCTTCCTGAGGCTGCTGACTCACAGAATGACTGCTACCCCTGGTCTGACACACATTTTCCCACTCCTCAGCTCTGGGTGGGGGTGGAAGGACTAGCTTCTGCCTTTCTGTGTGGCTGCCCTCCCTCCACCACTGGCTGGGAGACATTCCATAAGCCAGGCTGGTGTGATCTGGCAGCTGAGATGTTCCTTGTTCAATGAGAAACAATTGGGGATTCTCCAGCCTGCTCAGGCTCAGAACAGAAACCCCCACAAGAGGCTTCCCACTCCCATGCTGGCTCCTTTTTCCCTTCTATCACCTGATCCAGGAATCGGGGGAGCCCTGGGCCAATAGATCCTACCCTCATGAGGGCTGCAGAGGCCCACTGGGGCGTGAGTCCTTGCTATGGCCAGAGAAAGTTCAACAGCCATTTACAGCTTTAACATGGGGCCAGACTTTGCTGCCCACCTCGGCCTTCCCAAGGATCAATTGCACGGTCTCAAGTGTCAGTGTTCTCAGCCCCAGGATCAAAGGAACAAGAGCCCACTTGCCTTCCTGTGCAGCCTGGATGTCCCCCACCATGCCTGCCCTGGGAACTCTCCCTCCTCTTTCAGGCCTCTGCTCACCCTGACCCTTGGCTAAGGTAGGATCCCTCCCCCAGGCACATCATTTATCACTGTCTGATATGTTCTTGAGCATTTTTTTTTATTGGTGCCCATCTCCACATTAGACATGAGCCCCTTGACAGCAGGGATGGCCCCTGCCTTGTTCACGGCTACATTCCCAGTGCCTAGCACACAATAGGTATTCAATAAACATAGAATCATATGTGTGAACAGCCCCAGGAGGTATAGATATTTCTCCTTATTTTGTACCTGAAAAATCCTCTGAGAATCAGAGGGCTGAAGGCACTTCTCTCCCCGCATCCCTCGCAGAACGAGGACTCGAGGGTCTTAAAGCAACACTTCTTAAAACTGGAGGGAGTGTACACAATTCCCCTGTAGATCTATTTAGATGCAGTTCTGTCAGTATTCTGGGCAGAGGCACGAGATTCTGCATGTCCTGCAGGCTCTCAGGTGATACAGATGGTGGAGTATCGAGGACCACACTTTGAGGACCCTTAGAGTCTTAGAGCTTATGTCGGCAAACCTGTCTTTCTTCCCTGGTTGTTTAATGAGCGCCTTTGTTTTCTAAGCTTTGCTGTCACCCCAGTGTTGTATTTACCTGACTTGCTGTGCAGCTGGAGTAAGTGGCTTCACCTCTGTGAGCCTCCAGTTCCTCTGCTGTAAACATGGGCTCATGATCATGATGTTGCAGGGCTAGGGGGTGACTACACAACAACAGCAATAACAATGACCAGCACTTATGAAGCGCTTCCTCTGCCCTGTGTGTTTTACATGCATTGTCTCTTTCAATTATTCCCACATCTTGGGAGGTGGCACTAACAAAATGCCCACTGACAGACATGAAGGAGCACAGCTTAGTGGTCCAGGGCTCCCAGTGTGACTCCACCAGCTGTGTGACTTTGGGCAAGTCACTCAAAAAGTTTTAGCCTCAGTTTATCACCTGTAAAATGAAAAAAAGTTTAATATACCTATAGAGCTTAAAACAGTTTCAGTGGCTTATGCTGGCAAATGCTGGCAGTGGACACCATCCCTGCTCTAGGCTGACTGCCCATTCCTGACACACAGTGGGTCCACAGTGAGCTAAGCCCCTGTGGGTTCTGGAGGTTCTTTCTCCTGCATGTCCCAGGACTCTGCCTGGTTTATCATAGTCTGGCCCTGCCCCCAACCCTGACATGGGTGGACCTGCCAGCAGGAGAAGTCAGCTTCAGTGTATGGAGAGGAGATTCTGGGGGAGGGTGCACACACCCCACTGAGGGCTTTAGGACCTGAGTCCACCAGCCAGTGGGAGGGGGAGAGGGAGGTGTGGGGTCTCCCCAACATCCTACCAGGGTCAGGAGGACTGTCTTTCCCCCCCCTCCTGCTCAGGAGCTCTGCCAGGAGCCCATCCTTCAAGTTCTCTCACCTGAGATCATCCCGTAGGGCGGTTCTGGACAGGATCAAGGGAGGGCCAGAAGGAGAGCACTAGATCCATTGGGTGCATCCTGGATGTGGGAGGATGGTCCACGTGGTGACACAGGGGCCTCAAGATGTCTCCCCTCTGGGGTCACCACATTGCCTGAGATTCTCCCATTATAAATGTCCCTGAATTAATGGGGCATCATCCCTTATGAGTGGGAGTGGAGCAGCACAGTAGAGGGAAAAGGCTTGGGATTGGGACTATGACCAGCTCTGCAACTTGGGCTAGAGGCTTGCCCTCTCTGTGCCTCAGTTTGCTCTTCTGTTAAAGAGGTACCTTCCGTCTTGCAGATGCCACCACCTGGGTCTCTCTGCCTGATCCCAGGATGCTGGCCCAGAGAGCTGAGGGGAGGGTGATGCATTATCTTTCTGGCAGGACATCTAGCACACAGTAGGTTTACTTTATGTAGATCACCTGACACAGAGAAGGAGCATTTTATGTACAGTACCACGCACGCAGTAGGCATGCTTTATGTAGAGTACCCAACACTCAGTAGGTGCTCTTTATGTAGTAAACCTGGCCCTCAGTAGGCATGCTTTATGTAGAATACCTGAATTACAGTAAACAGGATTTATGTAGAATAGCTGGCACATAGTAGGTACACTTTATGTAGAGTCCCTGGCACACAGTAGGCATGCTTTTTGTAAAAGTACTTTGTGTAGAGTAGCTTTACGTTATGTAGACCACCTGACACACAGTAGGCATACTTTACATAGAGCACCCAGCACAGAGTAGGCACACTTTACATATAGTCCTCTGCACAGAGTATGTCTACTTTATGTATAGGCACACTGCAGCAGAAGTTCTATGTACCAGCCCTGTCCCTTCAGTCCATCTTTTTGGGGCTCCTGATCTTTCCCACCTTCCTGTGGAACCCCTCTGTGCCCCCTCTCAGGCCCTCATCCCACATCCCATTTCCCTGATGGAAGACTGAGCACAGAGAGGGCCGGCATAGCTCACAGTCAAAGTGAGGATGGGCAGGACTCCACTCAGGGTCTCCCAGCTCTGCCCTCCCCTGTCTGGACCCCATGCTCTCACAGCCCCCTGCAGCCTCACCCCCACTCCTCCAGGTGCCCTCGTCTGACTGGGCTCCTTACCCCCAGAGTCTGATGTGGGTAATCCCTAGCTAGGCTGGTGCCCTTGTTCCTGTTCCCAGCAGTCATGTCTCAACGCAGGCTCTGGGCTGCCTGGAGGCAGGTACTGAACTGCTGCCAGGCTGTGAGGCTCAGAGGCCAGAGGCTTCCTGTCTCTATGCTTCCTGATTCTGCACTGAGCAACAGTGCATGACACCCTCCTGGCCCCCACGTGGACAGGAGCCTGGGAGATGTTTGGGGGCAAGGCTTGGCATGGCCCTGCTCACCTGACACATGAACTCTTAAGTTCAACTTTTCACCTGCCACACCCTGGCCTCAGAAGGGCAGGGGCGGCTGTAAACTTGGAGCATAGAGTGACCTTTGCCCACCTCCCATCTTGCACACCCACCCCACGTGGGAGGTGCTGAGTCCTGAGGATCCAGCGTCCACGCCGTGTGACCCTGAGCTGGTTCCTAGGCCTCTCTTGACAATTTTGGAGCCCTCTTCCCCAACCCTCCCTTTGGGCGGGCTGCCAGGTGGGGAGGAGGTAAGCAGGCTTGTTGGGATTGGCTGGCTTAGCCTGGCCCTGGCCTCCTCCCTGAGGTCATGGGCCAGGGGAAAACACTTCCCAGGAGCAGAGGAAGGGAGGTCCTGTGCTGCTCCAGAGAGAAGGTGCCAGGCTTGGGTAGAGGGCTGGAGGTCCTGACCTGGGGTGGAGAAGGGTGCTGCCCAAGAAGGGGTGGCTCCAGGGAGCGAGCTGGCCTGGGGATTGGTGGTTTCCTAGCAACTGGAGCCTCTGGGAACCTTCCCCTGATTTAGTCTGGGCATTTATTCATTAGTCTCTCTTTCTCTTTCTCTCTCGCCCTTCTCTCTGTTTCTGTTTCTGTCTCTCTCTCCGTCTCTGTCTGTCTCTCTCTGTCTCTGTCTCTCTCTCTGTCTCTCTGTCTCTGTGTTTCTCTGTCTGTCTCCATCTCTTCCTGTGAATTTCCCTGGATCCCCCTCCCCTCTCTGAGCCTTCTCTGCCTTGTCCCCAGCACCCATCATCCCTGCCCCTCCCTGTCCCTGTCCTTCATACCCGTGGCCCTCTCCCTGTCTTTGTGAGCTGTCTGTCTCTGTCTCAAGCTCACCAACATCACGCCTTTCCTGGGCCTCAGGAGCTCACCTCCACCCCGTCTACCCTGCAGGATGCCGCAGCTGAGCCTGTCCTGGCTGGGACTCGGGCCGCTGGCAGCATCCCCGTGGCTGCTCCTGCTACTGGTCGGGGCCTCCTGGCTCCTGGCTCGCGTCCTGGCCTGGACCTACACCTTCTATGACAACGTTCGCCACCTCCGATGTTTCCCGCAGCCCCCCAAACGGAACTGGTTCCTGGGTCACCTGGGCCTGGTGAGTGTGGGCAACAGGAAGGGTCTGGGGTGTCAGGGTGGATGGACTTCCTGAAGTGGCAGGAATGGGGTTCTGGGGGTGGGGCTGGGGTCTAGGACTGTGGAGAAGTGTGAGGGAGGCCCAGGAGGCCCCTCTGTCCTCACTCACTCATTCTCTGCTCTGCCATCCCAGGCCTTTCCCACATCCTTGTCCTCCCACCCCAAGTCTGCTTTGGATCCACTTCTCGCCTGTCTGCCCCACATTAGTGCACCTCTGAGAGGCTCCCAGGGTGGGCTGCACAGAGCCAGACCCCCTGACATTCCCACAGACTCCACCACTGAGCTTGAGATGACTTCAGGGGCACTGTCCAGGGTCCACACCCTGCCTGGCCCATTTCACTGCGTGTGCTCACTCTGGGCTGCAAGAATTAGCTATGACCTGCCCACTCCCACCCACAGGGCACAGCTCCCCACCCTCCTTCCTAGGACACCTTTCTCTCATCTGACTCTTCCCCCCTAAGATATGCAAAGGGGCCCCGGTGCCTATTCTGGATCAACTAGGCCGCTCACTCCCCTTTCAGAAGCCTTCCTCCACTGCCCGCCCACACCCCAGCCCTTGACCTTTCACTCGGCCATGGTCCTGCTTAATTAAACATTAATTCTCCAATTACTTATTATCTACCTCACCAACTTGATAGTAGCTCTGGAAGCACACTGCAGGGCCAGCGCAGGGGCTGGCATACAGCAAGCACTCAAAATAACGTGAGGTGACCTCAGTGGTGAACATGCTATCACCTCTCTCCATCAAAGCCAAAGAGATGAGCGTCCAGCCCCTCCCACGCCCCAGACCAGCTGAGCGATGAGCACAGCTGTCCTTTCCTTCCCAGGGCAAGAGCTACAGCCTGGGGGAAGACTTCCTGTGATTTTACTGTTCATTGTGGCAAAGTTCAGAGCGGGGACATTCCAAAGCTCATCGTGAAGGGTTCCTGAGATTCTGGGTTGGGAATGTTCTCAGGGAGAGCTGGAGGCAATGGGATCACTACAGTTAGTGCAGTTTTGCTTCTTCAACTAGGGCCTCAGCCGTGGGAGCTCGTATCAGTCACTCTTCCCTTCCCCAGCCCCTCTTGCTGTGTGACCTCGGCTGAGTCACCGTACCTCTTTGGGTCAATGCTTTCAAGTGCTTTGAATTTTCACCGCAGCATAATCAGGGAGAAGGGAGGGTGTCACAAAGGTGAAAATGACTATGTTCGCCTGCCTGGAGCACCTGGGGATGTTTGTCAGGCTTTGAATCCTGAGGGACTGGAGACAACACATCACCAGGAGCCAACACGGACACTCTTACCTTTTGGAAGACAAGGAGTCAGGGTTTTTAATTGTAAATGACACGATTTATGAGTGTGCCCATGGGTTCAGAAGACACAGAAAGACAGACAGGATGCACTGTGAGAGACAGACAGGAAGCACTGTGAGAGAGAGAGAGAGAGGCAGACAGGACGCACTGCAAGAGATAGAGAAACAGACGGGATGCACTGTGTGAGACAGAGTGACAGACAGGACGCACTGTGAGAGAGAGTGAAGTCTCTCATAGGTGGGAGCTGCCCTCCTGATTGACTGGCAGAGTTCATATCTGTCGCGTAAGGGACATGCCTGGCGTTGAAGGTCCCCAGTCTGCAGACCCTTCAGTATTTGAGGAACCAGAGCCCATGTGGACAGATCAGGACTTGGAAGTATGTGAGAATGAGCCCCAGAGACAGGTCCTGAGGCCACCCTGCCCTGCACAAACCTCCCCCATGAGGACCCCCCACTGTGCCTCCCCAGGGGTGGAACCATTCCCAGCATGAGGAAAATCAGTCTTCTCCAGACATTTTGGCATCTCTGTGGACAGAGAGCGTGTCTTCTCCCTGCTCTTGGATACACACTGGGACATGGAGAGGCCTCAAGGACCCTCCTGCCAGAGAGGGAAGGAGCAGAAGGAAGCAGAGATTCCTCCATCCCTGCAGAATCTGGACACACTCTCCACTGCAGAGGTTCAGGGGGACGTGCCGTGGCTCTTTCTGGGGAGTGATCGTCTCTGTCTTGTTTGCAGTTCCCTCCGGAGGAGCAGGGCATGAGAGATGTAACTCGGCTGGTGGCAAACTACCCCCAGGGATTTGTGACCTGGCTGGGCCCCATCATTCCTCTTGTCAATCTCTGCCACCCTGACATAGTCCAGACTGTCCTCAGTGCCTCAGGTACCCATGCAGAGCTGTGGTGGTGGGTGCCGTCGCACATCCAAGGGCTTCTAGGTGCTCCTGCCAAGCTTCTGTGCGGCCTCTGCAGGACCCCGGCCCTCTGCCCCCTTCTATCTCAGCCGTATTCCTCTTTCCTTCATGTATTCACTGACCCCCATGTCAGCACCTCTTTCCTCCACTGCTGCTCTACCCCTGCCCTGCTGTCCTGGACACCACTGGGGCACAAAGAGGCCTCAATCCAAGGCCTTATACTGGGGGGATCCCCAATCTTGAGAAGACAGGTCTAGATAGAGAGCTCCCCAGGCTGCTGTGGTCAGGAATGGGACAGAGGTAGAGAAATGAGACAGCCCAGTGGAGAAGCATAGTCTCTGCTGCGGCAGGCTGGAGGGCTTCCTGGAGGAGGAGTTGCTGGCACTGTGTCTGAAACAATGAGCAGAAATGTTTTAAAGCAGAGGGCAGAGGGATGCAGTGGGCAAGATAGCATCCGAGGCCCCTGCCAGGCCTGGCTTCGGCCTTGCCCATCCCCAGGCCCAGAACAATCAGGGATTGAGGATGGTGGAGGATCTGGGCCGCTATTTTCACAATGTCCACCTCTGATCAGCTGATTCCTTCTACTCCCTCTTGTGGCTTGTCCACTTCAAGTTCATTGCCCTCCTGCTCCAGGCCTCAGGAATCTCCCCAAGGAGTCCCCACCCCAGCCAGGCTCCCTTCTCTTGCCCTCTACCTTTCTCACCCTCAGACAGACCAGGCTGAACAGGCTGATCAGGCAGCATCCAACAGAGACCTTGGCTCAAACACCAAAATGCTGGGTGACTCTGAGCAGGTCCCCAGCTCTCTCTGGCTGCTGAGGTCCCTTTCAGTTGTGAGTAGTGGAAACTCAACCTTGTATGGTCTAAGCAAAGAAAGGGAATCGACTGTCAAGTCCAGGGATGTCTTCAGGCACGGCTGGATCCAGGTCTCAAACAATGTCATCAGGAATCAGTCTCCGTTTTTTAGTTTTTGTTCCTCTGTGATGGCTTCACTCTCACGCTGGCAAAGATGAGTCCCAGAAGCTCAACTCCCATGGAAAAGTGTGCTCCTCCCAACCATTCCAGGGAAAGTTGCAGGATTCGCTTTAATTTGCCTGGCTTATGTCACTGGACCAGTTGCTCTTGCAGTCACTGCGACTCTGATTTGTCAGTCTTGGCAGGCATAGGGTTCTCAGAACTATAGTTTTGGGGTTCAAAGCAGTTCGATGGTTGAGAACTGAGGCCCTGGATTCAGACATACCTGGGCTCGGGTCTCAGGCATGCCACCTATGACCTGGGAGGCTGTGGGCAAGTGACTCCTTGGCTCAGAGCCTCAGTCTCCTTGACTGGAGAATGGGGATAGAAGAGAAGCCAGGTGAACGTGGTGTTTGGGATTCACACGGGGAAGGACCCTTTCTGTCCCTGTAACTGAGGGACTCCAATTTTGTGTATTGAGGGTGTGGGGAGGGACCCCAGGAGGAGGATGAGCTGCTGGATGGGATTCATGAGGCTCAGGTCAGGGCCTCTGCCCTACAGGTCCTTCCCTCTGGCCACTGGAAGAGTGATTTGGTTCCTCTTTGTCCCTCTCCGGATTTGGAGCTCAGAGGAAGGTCTCCTGTACACAGGGCCTGGTGAGCACCTATGGGGATGTGTGCTGCTGGCGGGTGGGGCCCTGGCATGCAGTCATCCACATCTTCCACCCCACCCAGATCGAGCCTGAGCTTTTTGCTCCAGGCAGACAACACACTGGCCACAGGTTTCCCACTGCTGAGGTCTCTGTGCTGCCTCCTGCTTGGCAGGTGACCGAGGTACAGATAGGAGGGGCTGTGGCAGAGATGCCACTGCCTCTGTCTGACCTGGATCCCCACCTGCTCTATCTCTGGTCATGTCTGCTCACTCCAAGGGTGTGTCTGTGTAATGTATGCTGTATGGTCATGTCTGGTCACGTTTCTGTTTCCACCTGGGTCCTGGTTACAGCTGATACATGTTACACTTGGTTACAGCTGGTATCTGTTACACTTGCTTACACCTGATGTATGTTACACTTGGTTACACCTGGCATTTGTTACACTTGGTTACACCTGGTATCTGTTACACTTGGTTACATCTGGTATCTGTTACCCTTGGTTACACCTGGTGTATGTTACACTCAGTTACACCTGGCATATGTTACACTTGTTTACACCTCGTATCTGTTACACTTGGTTACAGCTGGTATATGTTACACTTGCTATATGTTATTCCTGGGATCAAATGGAGATGGTTTCAATCACATCTGGGGCTTGGTTGTGGTCAAGGACATTTGAGGCATCTCAGAGTCTGTCTGGCTCTTGTTTGATGCCACTTGAGTTTGTCTGGGTCTCCTGCTGGTCATGTCTGGGCCACATTAGGGGTTTGTCTGAGGTTTGGGACTCAGAGTCCCTCTGGGAGTGCCTGAGACCTGTTGTGAGTCTTGTCTGAGGCAGGTGTTAGGATATTTCTAGGTCATGCCTGGTCCATGTCTGTGACATTAATGGAACTGCATTTAAGTCCTGTCTGTGGGACACACTGAGGTCATGTCAGATAGTCTTTGGGTCCATGTCAGAGTATGTTGTGTCACGTCAGGGTGTGTCATGATGTTGTTTCATGTTAGGACCTGTTAACACATGGTGAGACAATATCAGATGTCCCAGGTGATGTCAGAGAGTGCTGGGCAGATGTGGTGTCTTAGGTCCCTATAGAGGCGTTTTGTTGAGTGCTGGGCTGGGCTCGGGTGTTTAGAACATGTTGGACCATCTAAGAGCCATGTCAAGGGGTGCTGGGATCTGCTGGGGTGCATCTAAGCACGTGGGGGTGTGTCTGTGGGCTCTGCCTTTGCTCTACACTGTGCTTCAGCCTGGTGTGATTCCCCTTCACCTCCCTCCTCCTCCTGGCTTTCTCTTCCCCTCAGCTCGCTTCTGCTATGCTGGGCTTGGAGGGGAATGCAGACCTCTTCCTGGGGCTCCACCCCACATCAGAAGTCCCTCCCCTCCCCCTCTCCATGGCCCCTGATGGTCCTCAATCATGTCAGCTGCCATCGCGCCCAAGGACATAGTCTTCTACAGCTTCCTGAAGCCCTGGCTGGGTGAGTAACTGTGTGTGAAGTGGATTGGGGAAAACCTTGGGGTCAGGGGAAGGTGCTGCCCCAACTGACTCTTTGTGGCTGCCCCTACTAGGGGATGGGCTCCTGTTGAGTGCCGGTGACAAGTGGAGCAGGCACCGCCGCATGCTGACACCCGCCTTCCACTTCAACATCCTGAAGCCCTACGTGAAGATTTTCAATGACAGTGTGAACATCATGCACGTGAGTCTCTTGAACCCAAGGTCCCAGCAGGAGCCTTGGGGACGATGGGGTCTCAGAGACATCTTTTCTATATGCACCTTCTATATGCAATTCTGGCTCTTCTGGGTGGTTGGGACCATTGCTTTTCCTTTCTAAGCCCCAGTTTCCTCAGCTGTAAACTGGAGATAATAAGCCTCACTTTACAGAGTGGTCGTCATGTAATGGAGTCATGTCCCTGACACATAGTGGGTGCTCACATGTTAGTTTATATGTTTCCCTCACAGAAGCCTTGGAATCCTGAGACACAGTTGATGATAGTGATGGGTCACGTGGCTTTGCTGATCTGGGCTAAGTCCTCTCACATGTTTGGGGCTTGGTTGGGGCTTGGCTGGCTGACCTAGGATGACCTCAGCTGGGACAATCCTTTCATGTGATTCTCTCCCTCCAGAAGGCATTTCAGGCTTGTTCACATGGCAAAGGCAGGGTTCCAAGACACTGAGAGGAAGCTGCAATGCCTCTCGAGGTCTAGGTTTAGGATGATCACCTCATCATTTTTATCCCGTTGGCCAAAGCAAGTCAAAAGGCCAGCACAGAATGAAGGGGTGGTGAAGTAGGTTCTACCTCCTCAAGGAAGTTTGCAATCACATTGCAGAGGATATGGATGTAGGGAAGGGAAGCATTGGAGGTGGCTGTTATGTGAAGTGGGATTGTTCTATACTTGCAAGCTGACAAGTAAGTGCATTACTGTTTTGTGCGTTCTGCCAGAAGACACAAGACTCCTGGGTCGGAGACAAAGGACAGTTTATTACTCATGGCACAACAAGTGGCACATGCCTCTTGTTGGTTTTCATTCTTTCTCCAAGTCTCCAAATCCCATGAGGATGACACAGGTGGGCTTTGATGGGCACCTGTTCATAGGGTGCGTTGCACTGCAGGGGAGGAGCACTAGTCTTAGGGACTGTATGACTTTTATAGCAATTAGAAGAAAGCCTGATATTTGTACAGAGGGAGACATTACCACATCTCTCAGCGTTGTTTGCTGCAAACACAACTCTGAGAAATGGCCCAAGTAAAGAACATCAGGGCCTTGAATTTTTTGGCATACCCAGCAAGAATGTGCAGCATGCTCAGAGCCCATGGAAGACTACCATGACCAACACGGGACATTTTCCTAATGAATTTATGACAGCAAAGATGATGAACGGTAAGGTTTATTGAGCACACTCTATATGGAAGAGGCTCCCTGCCAAGTCCATGACATATGTTGTCTAAGTTAGTTTTACCACCCTGTGAGGGAGGGATAATTTTTCCCCTTTAGAGATGGTGAAACTGTGGCTCAGAGAGGTTGGGAAGCTTCCCTGAGTTCACACAGCTGGCCAGTGAGATAAAAAGTGGATATGGGTTTCCAGCCTGGTTTATCTAACTCCAAAGTACGTCATCTTAACTGCTACTGAGGATTTGACAGGTGGAGCCCAGACGAGGGCAATGAGCTGACCAAGGGCACACAGAGTGTAGGAGGTAGAGCCAGGAGATGAGCCCAGGTCTTCTGACACCCAGCAGTGGGGTCTGCATGTCCTAGTAGTAACAGCTTCCACTCCCACTCAAGCCTGATCCTCCCTGGGGACTGGTGCCAGGGGCAAAGCTGCTGGATCTGGGTGAGGCCCATCTTGGTGGTTGGGGAGGGTCTCAGAGGAGGCAGGTCCCAGCCCCAGCTCTTCCCCCTTCTCTGCCCAGACCAAGTGGAAGCACCTGGCCTCAGAGGGCAGTGCCCATCTGGACATGTTTGAGCACATCAGCCTCATGACCCTGGACAGTCTGCAGAAATGTGTCTTCAGTTTTGACAGCAATTGCCAAGAGTGAGTCCTTGCCCAGGACCTGGGAACATGGGCCATAGACCCAATGGGGTAGATGGAGGTAGGACTGACTAGGGCCATCAGAAGGGCCTTCCTGAAGGAGAAGGATCAGAGATGGACAGTGACGAACAGGGAAGGGGAAAGAGAAAGAGTAATCCTTTCAAGTAGGTAGAAATGTTTGGAGACACCTGGGAAATGAGTTGGAGGAGTAGGTGAGGGTAGATCTTCATGACGTTCAAAAGCCAGGCAAAGGATCTTTATCCTGAGATTTCCAGGGAAGCATGGATGGTGTTTCAGCAGATGAGGGCCGTGGTCAAAGCTGAGTTTGGACATCTGACTCTAAAGAAGACCGACTGTCATGTAGACACAGGTGGTATTGACACTGTATCCAAGGAGACTAGGGAGGGGCTGGGTCCATTGACCAGTTGAGAGAGGACAAGGTCTGAGCTGTTTGGACAGTTTTGGGAATGAGAAGGGGCAGATACTGTGAAGGAGAGAGAGGAGAGAAGCATGATGTCTAAGCTGTGCCCCAGGTACCTGGGGCATGGACGCAGCTCGCAGAGATAGGAGGCAGGGAGAGAAGAAAGTCTAGACAGTCATGGCTCCTGAATCATCCCCACCATGTATGTGTGGGGCCATCTGTTCCTGGATATTCAGTTTCCTCATGGGAGTTAGCTCCTGGCATCTGGTGGGAGGTGTTTCCTGGGTTTCAGGTGAGCTAAGTTGTTGCCTCCCTTCATGCCCTATCCTGCAGGAAGCCTAGTGAATATATTGCTGCCATATTGGAGCTCAGTGCCCTTGTGACAAAACGGCATGAGCAGATCTTCCTGCACATGGACTTCCTGTACCACCTCACCCCTGATGGACGACGCTTCCGTAGGGCCTGCCGCCTGGTGCACGACTTCACAGATGCTGTCATCCAGGAGCGGCGCCACACCCTCCCCAATCAGGGTCTTGATGACTTGCTCAAGGCCAAGGCTAAGGTCAAGACATTGGACTTCATTGATGTGCTCCTGCTGACCAAGGTGGGCTTCTCTGGGATCTGAATTCAAGAGGTAGAATGAACCTAGATTTCAAATGTCAGATCAAAGAACTCAGACTCGATCTGGAGGGTCCTCGGGAGCCATGGAAAGTGCTTCAGTGAGGGAAGGACAGGTCAGGGATAAGTTTTAGAGATGACTGTGTGGAATGCAGCCTGTGGGAGCCTTCTACGTCTGAAGCTGTGTAAAGCCTTAGGTTTTATTCTACTTAATAAGTTAGTCATATGTGTATATGTTCTCATATATACATATATCTCATAACCCTGGATCAGACCAGCCCATTTATTGCTGACAGAAGTAACAGTAGCCAGAGTAGAACTGTGGCTCTTGTTCCACATTCCCAAATTCCCCCAAGGGTGATATAACACTTTTACCTCTACATGAAGCCATGCTTGCATCACAGGAGAGGTACCTCCACATTATGAATCTTGGAACTTACATAGGACCACTGACTCATCTACCTCTTCTTCCTTATGGTGAGAGACAGAGACAGAGAGAGAGAGACAGAGAGAGAGAAGCTGGAGTATAAACAAATCCTCTTCAGTGAGAAGGCAATGTCTATACCTTCTATAGGTTTATCTCCAGAGGAGGTAAGGAATCTCTGAATTTACTATCCTAGAATGTGAGCAAATCACTCTGGAGCAACGCTCAATCTCTAACTTCCAAGGCAAGTTGCCAGTCAATCATCCTGTAACCCAGGTTATCAATAAATTCTTCTCAGAAAGCCATCACCATGTAGAAGCATGAAGATATCCATGGATCATTCATTCCTACCACAGGGACAAGACAGGAGGCAAGGATGCCAAGGAGGAGGCCTGTGGGGTGGGGCCTCTGGTGATAGTGAACAAGGGAGGTCCAGGAGTGCAGGGTTGGGTTGGGTTTCTAGGTGGATGATGGAGCTTCAGAGATTGTGTCAGGGCTCCTCAGAATTGGTGTGATTTGGTGGATCTTGCTTTCTCTTCAGGATGAAGATGGGAAGGAACTGTCGGATGAGGACATCCGAGCTGAGGCTGACACCTTTATGTTTGAAGGTGAGACTGCAGAGGGAGCAGGGGTCTCTTTATTCCAGGGACTTGGCATGTGGGCCCTAGACCACCCCATTGCCCCTCATCCTCCCCCTCCTCCCCATCCTCCCCAATGGCCTTAAGGTAAGGGCACTGTCCACCTCTGGTGCTGAAGAGCCCAGAGACCCAAGCCTGTCTGCCTGCCTCTCAGGGCATGACACCACAGCCAGCGGCCTCTCCTGGGTCCTGTACAACCTCGCGAAGCACCCGGAATACCAGGAGCATTGCCGGCAGGAGGTGCAAGAGCTCCTGAGGGACCGTGAGCCTAAGGAGATTGAGTGGTGAGTGGAGGTTCACATGGTCTGTTCCTGAACCCGTCTCATTAGCTCTGCTCCCCAGCTGGAAAGGGGGAAGATCTTTTTGTCAATTCTGTCATTTTTGTTTAGTGGGAATAGGAGTAGGACCCACAGGCAGGGTCTGTTAACCAGCCTGGATAGCAGGGGAAAGGTTACAGCCTTTGGGACAGAAACATCTGGGCTGCTGAGAGAATTAGTGACAATGTGTGAGGGCAAATGATGCCCCTTAGCATGTATTCAGTGAGTGAACTTCCCCTCTGCTCCTTTCTTTTCTCTCTGAAATCACATCTTTTTTCAAACATCTTCACTGCCTGAATGACTGCTGGTCTCCTGCCTCCTAATTCCCATCACATTGTGCAGTCCAGAATTCACAGGGGACACCTGGGGGTTAAAGTCATTCAGCTCTTGTCCAGGAACACCTGCATCTTCATCCATCCAGTCCGCATTCAGCAGACACCGCCACACTGCCTTCCCATCTCCAATTCTGTGCCATCTCCAGTTCTTTCCAGCCCCATTTTGCGTCCTGGAGACTTGAGAAGGACCTAGACCTGGCCTTTGCCTTCCAGGAGCTCCCAGCCTGGTGGGGGAATAGTCCCAGTTCAGGACACTCTCAGTCCACGTGGGGAGGGCTGGGTTCAGAGCAAGATAGACTAGGCTGAGGGTGGAGAGAGTGTCTCAGCTGAGACCTTGAATGCTGATCAGTAGATATTGGGGTGGAGTTGGGGTACAGTTAGGTTAAGAAGATAGCCTGGGAAAGTGAAGAGGAAGGGAAGGGCAGAGGGAGAGAGAGAGTGAAGGAAAGAGTGAGGGATGGGGTGGCCCCATGGCTTAGCGATTAAGTGCGTGTGCTCCGCTGCTGGCGGCCCTGGTTGGGATCCCAGGCGCGTACCGATGCACCACTTGTCCGGCCGTGCTGAGGCCACGTCCCACATACAGCAACTAGAAGGATGTGCAGCTATGACACACAACTATCTACTGGGGCTTTGGGGGGTAAAATAAATAAATAAATAAAAGAGTGAGGGAGAGAGAGAAAGAGAGGGACAGACGGAGGGAGAAGGGAGTGGGGAGAAAAGAGAGAGAGAAAGGAGAGGGAAAGAGGGATGAAGAGATGATGAGGGGTAGAGAGGGAGGGATGGAGGGACAAAGGGAGAGAAGGAGAGTGAAGGAGGCAGAGGAGGGAGAGAGAAATTGAGAGAGAGAGGGAAAGAGAGAGAGGGAGAGAGAGAGGGAAGGAAGGAGGGAGGGAGATAGAGAGAAAGAGAGGGAGTGATGGAGGGAGAAAAGAATTGGGGGAAGGAGAGCGAGAAAGGAGAGGGGGAAAGGGAGGAAGAGAGGGAGAGAGATAGAGAGGGGGAATGGAGGCATAAAGGGAGGGAAGGAGAGTGAGGGAGTGAGAGAAGGGAGTGGAGGGAGAGAGAGAGAAAAAGAGGGGGGTGGGGAGAGAGACTCATGATGAGATGATGAGGCTGGGAAATGACAGCAGAGGCTGGTTGTGGATGACTTTGAAAGCAATGTTAATGGCTCCAATTTGAACGCCAGGGCCAATGTGGAACCATGGAAAGTGTTTGAGCAGAAGGAGAACAGGTCAGATCTTGGTGCCAGAGAGAGCTTTCTAGGGCTTGTGTGGGGGATCTACTAGAGAGGACAAGCTGTAGAATGGGGGCCCAGGGAGGAGATTCTGAGGCCTGAGCCAGGCCAGGGACTGGGGGATGGTGAGGAGGCCTTGGACTGGATGGGCATTTTGGAGGAAGTATTCTCCACTCCAAGTCTTTGATCAGCATAGCAGTCCTGTGAGGTGAAGAAACACTTTCATGCTTTTTAAACCAAGACTTTAAACAAAATTATGCACTTGGTCAAAAAAGAAAAGAGTACAAAAGGGTTTATAATAAAAATGAACTTCCTTCTTAATCTCACCCTAGGAGTAATTCCTGTCAATGATCTCCTGTGTGTCCTTTTAGAAGACGTCTATCCTTATATCCTTGTTATATTATTCCTCTCTCTCTCTCTTTCTCTCTGGGAATTCACATCTGTACATCAAAAATATATCTTTGAGATCTTTACTTTTTCTCAGAATATGAGTTTTGGAAAAGTAGTTTTGAATTATGAAAACAATGATGAGGACAAGTTCTTATTGCACTAAATGAGACATTGCAGAGAAGACTTGGGTTATCCTTGACACAGTAAGTTTAGTCAACTTCCATCACCATGCATAGTTACAAACTTTTCTTTTTCTTGTGATGAGAACTTTTAAGATCTACTCTCTTAGAAAATTTCAAATATATAATACAGTATTGTAAACTATACTCACCATGCTGTACATTCCACCTTTTGGGGGGTACTTTTGGCTAGTTTTTATAAAGTCCAATTTGTCCAAATTTTCTTGTGCAGCCATTCATTCCATCCAAATCCTAGGGTTTTGTGGGCTTCCTTCACCACATGTTAAGTCTGTTATTTCCGTATCTGTCTCTGAGCTCTCTCTTCTGTTCCGTGGGTCTATTTCCCTGTCCTTGCAGAGATGCCACAGTACTTTTTTATTCCTGCCTCTTTGTGATAGGTCTTCGTATCTGGTACAGTTCTTCCTCTTTTTAGTCTTTCAATTTTAAATTGACCTAGCTCTTCATGACCGTTTATTCTTCTAGAAAAAAAATTTAGAGTAGGTTTATCAAGTTTCTAAAAAAGTCAGGTAGATTTTCGCTTGAATTCAATATATTCTATTGGTTGACTTGAATATATGATTGATTTGTGGAAAACGGATTACGTCATAATATTAACACACACTATCCCAGAGTGTGGAATGGATATCCATTTCTGGATATTCAAATAATCTTTAGTCTTTTAATAGAGTCTACAGTTTTTGCATAGAAATTTTATGCATATTTTGCTAAGTTAACCCTTAGATACTTTTGCTGACGTGGTGATTCGTATCTTGAATTTAGATTGAGAGAAGTTTATAAGTTCTTTTGGAATATACAGATTTCACAGTTCTTGCTAAATTTAATCCAGATATTTCATATTGTTATTATTATCATATTTTCTTTTATAATCTTTTCTAACTGGTTGTTATTTACATAGGATATATAAATTTTGTGAACACAGTAAATACCAAAGAGGAAGTCTCACATCGACAGGAAAAATCCAGATCATTTAGAAAAAGCTCTTGGAACAACAGGGAAGCTCCCTGGAAAACAGTTAATTCAACCGTATTCTCATGTCTCATAACAAGATAACATGCAGATGAATCAAAGATTCAAAACAAAAAATAAAAGTCTTAAAAGTTTCAGAGGAAACCATGGGAAAATTATTTCATAATTCTAGGGTATGGAGGCCCAGTTTGTGATGCAAATCCCAGCATATACACAAGAAATTGATATCCTGTTAAAAAGATACAGAGCAGTGTATGTCGTATAGACTATGTAACTTTTATTATGGAAGTAAATATACTATGTAATTTTATACTTTATTTAATGTATATAGTATATATTATATAATATTTTAGGATGCAAAACAACCCTGGAAGGACACATAAAAAATAAAAACCTAGGCAAACTGTGAGGAGGAGAAATGAGTGGTATTGGGCCACAGAGACAGTGTTTTATAGTTTTCCAATTTTGAACAGTTACCTGTATCAGCTACTAAAAATTCAAATCACCAAACAACAAGAAGAGGGATAAAGAAAAAGAACTCAGCCACCTTACTGGATCTTCAAAGTTTATAAAAGTTTTCCAGCAGATTCTCTTGTGTTTTCTAAGTATAAAATCACTCTTTGCCAAAAATGACATTTTTACCTCCACATTTCAAATTGCATTACTCTTGTTTTTTCCCTTGTCTAATTGCATTAGCTAGTATCTCTAGTGCCCTGATAAACAAGAGTAAAACATTGGACCTGTTTTTTTTTTTTTTGCTTCTTACTCATTTACTTGCCTTTTGTTTTGGTCTCTTGCCATAAATAATATTTTAGTTGTATGCAAATTTGAAAATCTTTTTATGGTTTGGGTGTTGTGTTTTGCTAGGAAAAGCTTCTAAAAATATCTGGCTAAACTTTCTGTCTGGCACTTCTGTAATATTGCTTTTCTTTCTTTCTTTTTAAAACCACTTTATTGAGCATCAGTTGTCATACAAAATGCTGTACATATTTAACCAACACACCTTAACGAGAGTGGAGATATTTGATCCATCTCGAATTTATTTTGCTGTAGGGAGAGAGGATCTCATGGGGCAGCAGGAGGGCTGAGGGGTCTCTGTTTTTGCTCTCTGTATAATTGTTGGGGGATTTCTTTAGGGAGGACCTGGCCCAGTTGCCCTTCCTGACCATGTGCATCAAGGAGAGTCTGCGGTTGCATCCCCCAGTGGCAGTCATCTCCCGCCGCTGCACCCAGGACATTGTGCTCCCAGATGGCCGGGTCATCCCCAAAGGTGCCCACAACGTCGGGGAGAGGATCATCCTGGGCAGGAAGACGGGTCCATCAGGCAAGGAGGACCTCTTCCTGACTGGCTTCTCCTCTCCCACAGGTGTTATCTGCCTCATCAGTATTTTTGGGACCCACCACAACCCATCCGTGTGGCCAGACCCTGAGGTGCTGCCTCCCCGCCCCCCATCCTTGTCCACTCCCGTAAGGGGATCCAGAGGAGGGCGCAGGGTTCCCCCCTGGCAAATCAGACATCACCTCCCCCCACCATACACACATCTGCCTCTCCAAGGCTGGCAGTCCTGGGAGACCCCACCCAGCAGACCTGTCTTGCCCTCACCCTCAGGTCTATGACCCCTTTCGCTTTGACCCAGAAAACATCAAGGAGAGGTCACCTCTGGCTTTTATTCCCTTCTCGGCGGGTCCCAGGTGAGGGCAGCGGGCATCTGAGGAGGGGATGGGATGATGGGGGCGGGGGTCTGGGACTGAGATCCCAGCCATGACTGTGGGGCGGAAAGGGGAAAACTGAAGATGGTCAGAGTTGGGGCTCTCCTTCCCTTCCCTCCCCTCCCCCGGAGGTTATGGGTACTGGTGTGGGGAATAGGGTCCTGGTGGCTCAGAGCCCCTGCCCCTGTCTGCTGTTGCAAGCTGCGGGCTGGAGTCTGGGCCATGCTCAGGTAATATGCAAGCCCACGTTGGGGTCCCAGGCACGGTTAGCCCCCTTCTCTCTCCTGCGGGCGGGGACGGGGTCCCGGGACAGGTTCCGGGCGCGATGGTGCCGGGATGAGGGACCCGGGCGCCCTCGGAGCCCGCGCTCCCGCCTGCAGGAACTGCATCGGGCAGACGTTTGCCATGACCGAGATGAAGGTGGTCCTGGCGCTCACACTGTTGCGCTTCCGTGTCCTGCCGGACGAGGAGGAGCCACGCAGGAAGCCAGAGCTGATCCTGCGCGCCGAGGGCGGGCTTTGGCTGCGGGTGGAGCCGCTGAGCACGGGCCCACAATGAGCCCCTGCCTCCTGGCCTGGGATCCACCCTGACCCCACACACCACTTTTCTGATTCCCAGGAATAAAACTGTTTTGTCACCTGTGCCTGAGCCTCACTGGGAGCCAGCAGGGGGCGCTGGGTGACAGTGGAGGGTGGGGAAGGGGTGTGGTTGGGCGGAGGCGGGGCTGGTGTGTCTGAGACCAACAGTTTGACTGCCTCTCCAGCTGACCACAGGGCCCCCACGCTGATAGAGGTGTCTTCCAGAAACTAATCATGGTATTTAAATGTAGGTAATTGGGCTCCATGGGAGGTGTTGGAGCAGGAGAGGGACCAGGGTTAAGGATGGACTTAAGGAGCACATTTGAGGATCTGAGTCAGAGAGGAGAACCCAAGTGTGGCACTGTTCTCTGACCACCCTGACCTGGGTTGGAATCTCCTAATGTACCCAATCTCTTCTCACCTCAGAATCTTTCACTGTGTTTCCATGGTTGCTATGTTACTATGTTTACATAAACATAAGCCTGGGTGCTTTCTAGTGTGTTGTGGTATCCGTCCCTATTACATTGTCTGTTGTTGTTGCTGGTTTTCACTCATAGGGTCAGTGTTCTTGTTTGCCTCGTTATCATTGCCTGGGTAACTGTAACCAAGCAAAATGGGGCCGGTTCTGCTCCCTGCAATCTGGTGCCAATCAGTTACAAACAAGCTAGTGGTTGAGAAAGGAACATTTATACAATTAGCTAGCATAATCGCAAGATGGCCGACTAGTGTCCTAAAGAACTATCTTAAAATTATACAGAATCTTGAGGCAGTTATACAGGGTAAATGGGCAAATGACTGGGGTTTAGGAATGTCAACCATCTGGTGTGATGGAGTTCAAGGCACCTCATTATCTTTCTTCTGTCATTTGTGATGGGTACCAATGCAGAGGTTTTCTTTCCGGAGATTTTCATGTTCCTGGGGAACTTATAGGACAAAGTTATCCTCTTATCACAGCTGGGAGATATACACAAGCAAGAGTCATAGAACTAGCAGATCATGTATTTTGCAAAAGGAAAAAGTGCCTAATCCTCTAGGCTATGTGCAGGCTAGAATGTATTCTCAGAGACTAGTGAATCAGGGTCATAAATAGTTACAATATTGCTTGCTTTCCCTAAGGTGGCTTCCCTCACAATAACCTAAGATCTAGCTGTTATGTAATGGCTCTCATATCTGAAATGATATTTGTTGAATTTGAAGGAGGCAGCTTTCTGTAAGAGGAGTCCTTGGGCCGGGCTGGTTGAGGATTATGTTAAATGAAGTTCATGGTTTATGGTGCCCAAGATCACTAAGGGAATTTAAATTCAACCTGAAGTCACACTTGTAGGATCCTCCTGCAAGGTTGCTGTCACCTTGAGGGGTGTAGCTGTTTGAGGTCTCCACCTATGTGAGGAGGGTCTTCTTACAATTTCCCCTCCTGGCATCTCCCTGGGCTTTGATTTTTCTCTCCCCTCCATGAGGCCATCAAAGCAGAGAAATGCCTCCAGGGAAAAAGCATAACTCATGTTCATTTTATACCAGTTTTCTGATTTCATTTCAGTAGTGTGTTCGTAATTCTTTACTGTCATTTCGGGTCATTATTCATTTAAGAAACTGTGAAACTATTCGGATTTGAGAGTTGTCTTTAAAAAACAAGAGTTTAGGGCCGGCTCCGTGGCTTGGCGGTTAAGTGCGCGC